TGAAAAGAACCTTCACTGCATTTCTGTACAAAAGAGTATGTAGTGTATATTTTTTGAATATTTAGAATTAAAATTTTAGATGGGTGAGAAACTTTAATGCTGTGTTCCACTGTTAGTTGAAAAGTTGCAGCTTTATTCTTGGTAAGTTTGTTTTTATTTATGGTAAATTTAGTAATTGTTTCCCTTTTATTTTTTTAATCTTTAAAGTTTTTTTGTTAAGTTTTGTTTTTTTTAGTTTATTTATTTATTTTTGAGAGAGAGCACTAGCTTGGGAGGCACAGAGAGAGGAGACAGTGAATCCCAAGCAGGCTCAGTGCTGTCAGTGCAGGGCCCCAAGCAGGGCTCATACCAGTGAACCTTGAGATCATGGCCTGAGCCATGCTTAACTACTTTAGAGTTGATACTTAACCAACTGAGCCACCCAGGTGCCCCTCCCTCTAACTTTTGAACATAAATGGCATTTAACATCTTCAGAGTGTGTGTGTGTGTGTGTGTGTGTGTGTGTGAGAGAGAGAGAGAGAGAGAGAGAGACAGGCAGACAGACAGACAGACAAGGACCAATCCTGGGGTTCTTTCTGTCCTGTTCTATTTTGAGTTCAGCTTTTTGGGAAGCATCCTCCCCCATCCTACTGACATATCTATTCCTCTCCAGAAGGGTTTTTTCCCTTGAAGCAACATCATTTATATTCCCACTTGAGCATTCTGATGTCTTGTTTTTGGGTCCTAAAAGTAGAGCTTTTAACAAATGAATAACCTATGGTTTGCTTCGTGACAGGTCTCTCCACTCACAGGTTGAAGGGCTCTAGCTTGCTTGGTCTCATTTGATTTTCATCATCCTAGCACTGACAGTAAATCACACAATGGTCATACTTTTCCTTGGATATATTTCTTTGTATCCTTTACTTGTCATATCAGGATCATGAAAATCCCGCTGCTCATTAACTTTGTCAATTTAAATAGGACCCCCCTCGCAAAGCGCATTGAATAAGCATCAATAAAGCATAACATGTGATGTGTGTGAAGGCATCAATCATCTGTCTGTTGCACCCACTTCTGTCATTTTCGCACTTTCTGCTCTCTAAGAACTCAGAATACCAAAGGGGTGGACAACTGAAAGAGACAGATGAAACGGTTGATTTGTTTAGTTGCTAAATGCAGCTGGGACAGGTAATTAAACAGTCCTGCTCCCGCAGAGAAGCCTGCAGCAATGTAACATGAAGTCTCAAAAACCCAGCTGTACTCAGATTTAGATTCAGAACTAATATTAGGTAGGCCTCTTTTAGATTGACAGATTTCATAAACATTGTTTCTGGTTTATTTGTTCAGCGTGATTGAAGATGGAGCATGTGTGTTTTGCTCATGGTTTAAGTTTCTAGGGAGCATGTACTGTTTATAGACATCTGGGAGAATAGCCTAGAAGGGCACAGCCCTGTATCTGGAAGGTGAGGGATTCCATGGGCGACCCTCTGTTGTTCCTCTATGCTCCAGTCTGTTCCTGACTTGAACTGTTTCGTGGATTTGGGGAGTGGGGTCAGCCATGTGAATAGATCAGGATTAGTAAGGGGGCAGGATGAGGAGATTGGATCAGTTTCTTCCTTAACCCTTTTATTTTTTATGGGCACATATTGTTATGTAAGTAACTGATCTGTGTGTACAGTAATGTCTTTGGGGCATTTCTATGCAGAAATTGCTATCACCGTCAGTTGCTTGAGTAAAAATTTAGCAATTATCTTTTTCATTGACCTTCTACAAGCAGTTCCCTGGCAGGCTTTTTGTAGGGCAGGTGCATTCTTACCCTTCAATTTTTACCGCAAATGTCCCTGACTTTGAAACCTACCCCGACCAACTTTCCAAACTGACCTCCACCAGTTGTGTGTGGTGTCTTGACTCTGATTAGCTCCTTCATGGCACTTATCACAATTAGCAATTATTTGCTTTTCATTTTTTTGTTGGTGAATTGTTTTTTTGTTTGTATCTGCTTGCCATCTTGTTTATTGTGTTTCACAATGGATATTCGTGCCGGGGGCGGAGGTCAAGACTGTTTCTTTCATTCACCTAATGATTCCAACTCATAACTCAAATCCTTGTACATAGTTTACATCCTATAAATATATGCTGGATATGATGTCCAGACTAGATTGTAGATTGTGGTATGCTGGTAAATGTCTAGCTCTCAAAACAAAAATCAAAAACCAGCCCAAATTTGTAGCATTTACCAGTATCCGTGGTGTTAATAATCCCACCATGGCAGATTTCAAGCTACCAAAATGACATCATGGACTGCTGAGCTCTGAAACAATTCACAATAGCACTTCAGTGTTTCCAATTTCTCTGTGGGAACAGGACTGTTTAACTACCTCACCCAGCTTTATTTTGCAGCTCAACATATCCACCATTTCATCTGTCTCTTTCAGTTGCTCACTCCTTCAGGATTTTCTAAGTTTTTTTTTTTTAACTTATTTTTTAATTTACATTCAAGTTAGTTAGCATGTAGTGCAATAATGATTTCCGGAGTAGAATCCAGTGATTCACCCCCTACATATAACACCCAGTTATTAAATACAAATATTAAATACAAATATTCTCTGTATTTAAGAGTCTCTTATGTTTTGTCCCCCTTCCTGTTTTTATATTATTTTTGCTTCCCTTCCCTTATGTTCCTCTGTTCTAAGTTTTTAGACAGAGTATTTCCACTGTACATGTATAACAGAAGCCCTTAAAGGAGGTAAAGTGTGGTAAAAATAATTAGGAAGTGATGGATTTTGAATACTTATTGCATTTGTCTTTAATATTATTTAATTGTAGTTGTATAGAATTTTCAATAGCTAGCTTACAAAATTCCTGAGAATTGAACAGTCTGTTCTTACAAGTAATCTTCGCATCGTAGAGACGACCTGTGGGTGGATCCGCTGACCACTCTCTGCGCTAGTGTTTGCCTTATAAGCAAAGGGAGATGGTTGGCGGTTTCTTATTACAGACAGATTCGAGAGTTTTTATTAACTTTTTACTAGTGAAAATAAAAAAAAAACACTGAAAAACCCACACATGCGTACACATACACGAATAATAAGGAAACTATGTCTCCTTCCTTCTTCAAGGATGTGCATGACTTGGTGCAATGACTAGACAGGAGGATGAGGTGGCGGCAGTGAGAAATAAATCACAGAATGGGAACAAGAATCACACAATGTTAACCCTTCATTTAAAGTGCTGGAACAGGGGCGCCTGGGTGGCTCAGTCGGTTGAGCGTCCGACTTTGGCTCAGGTCATGATCTCACGGTCCGTGAGTTTGAGCCCCACATCAGGCTCTGTGCTGACAGCTTAGAGCCTGGAGCCTGCTTCGGATTCTGTGTCTCCTTCTCTCTCTGCGCTCACCCCCCCACCCCGCTCACACTTTGTCTCACTCTGTTTCTCAAAAATAAATAAATGTAAAAAAAAAAAATTAAAAAATAAAATAAAGTGCTGGAACATCTTTTTTTTTTTTTTAAATACTACAAGTAAAAATTTATTGACCCTGAGAAAGTACTTCTATTTTGATGTTGCTTCTCACTTATCACAGGAATTACTTCCCAAAAAGAGTGCTGGAACATCTTCATGCCAGAGATGGTGGTAGATCCTGAAGTGCTCGGTGGTCAAGAGCACTTAACTTTCAGAAAATTAGCCCAGGGCCGGAAGTCCCTCATGCCTGTTTTAAGTCCTTGAGGTCTTAGTCCTTAACACTGTTTGCCAGTTCACATTTGTCTGTGTGTATATGGTGGGAAGGAAATGAGCCCCAGATGGTGTCTGAAGAAAGGCCTGTAGATCTCTGGGGACTCAGAGCAGATGTCTACAGGGAGGTGACAAACTCAGAGATAAGGGATTACAGAGAATAGGATATATGAAGGAAGGAGCCATGTTATGGATGCATTGCCACATTCTGTAGGGTTTTCTCCTTAAATGTACAGTTAGAGGTGGGCTGGTACTTTTAGAGAAATAGACTATTGATATAAGAAATATAAACCATAATTAGTACCATGTAACCACATTCGAGTTTGTAGCCTCAATGAGAAATCATTAGCTCCATCTTTGAAAGTCAAGGGAGTGGATTTGTTAGTGCCTTTTTGACCTTTACAGCCAACAACACTGAGTCTCATCTCTTTACTTAGACATTGGCTAGAATTTCTTAACCTTTGACTCATCTGAGCCCATATGAATTCTTTTAAGCCAACGGCATCAATCCTAGGATGGAATAATGATTGCCTTCCTTATTACATAACTACTCTTCCCTAACTGGAAATTGTTCTCACTCAAGTTGGTGAAATGGGAAAGGAGTTCTTTTTTTTCTTTTCTTTTTTTGCTTTTGTTTGTGGAAAAGGAGTTCTTGAGTGAAGTGCCATTTTTCACAGATTAATTCAAAAACACACGAGCCCATGTTTAGTACCCGGTACTATTGTAGGGCCTGAGGTTATAGAGAGAACATACAGACTTTGCACTTAACCAGGGGGGAGCAATCAAGAAAATAGGAATTGTAAACAGCGTAGGTTGTGAGCTGTGAGAGAGATGTGTACAAGGTGGTCTTAGACCCCACACAGAGGCACATTAACTTTGATATTAGAAAGAGCTTCCTAGAAGTGACACTTACACTGGAAGTGTGAGTGGAAATTAGGTAATAAAGAGGAACTAGAATGTTCTGGGAGATGGGAAGCCCTGCAGAAATGTGAAACACTGAATATATACTGGAAACTATAGAAGGTTTGGAATGCCTGTTGCTTCGAATTGAAGGCAGGACTTTGTCTGTCTCTCCATTTCTAGGGACTCTGAAAGGAAAAGAATAAGAACAAGCAAACAAATGTTGCATATGTTATTGGTGATTAGTTTTCCCATTATTGTCCTCTACCGGGATCTTCGTGATCTGATTTAAGAGGTGGGGCTTTCATGCCAAAATAACACTTGACAGAGGGATTAACAGTTGGATATGCCCTTGTCATGTTTGATGTTACTGCTTTTTTTTTTTGCTACAGTTGCTGCCCATTCACACTCTGAGACTTGGCATGGAAGTGGATTCCTTTGATGGGCACCATTATATATCTTCAATTGTTCCAGGTGGTCCTGTTGATACACTGAAACTTCTGCAGCCAGAGGATGAGCTTCTTGAGGTAAAATTTCTGAGAGATAAAAGACAGGACAGGAATTTCTAAGTTGTAGGAAGATGTATTTTTACCAGAAATTCACTGAGTTTACATTACTTCCAATGTAATGTGAGCTACTTAGGTTGAAAAATACTTGGGGACTATTGTTAACAATACTGTGTTGTATACTTGAAAAATCACTATAAGAGTAGATCTTCATGTTCTCCCCACACATACACAAAATGGTAACTATGTGAGGTGATGGATAAGTTAACTAACTTTATTGTGGTAATCAATTTGCAATATAGGTGTATGTGAAATCATCACATTGTACGCTTTCAACTCACACAGTGTTATGTGTCAATTATATCTCAATAAAACTGGAAAAAAAATGAAATAAAATGAAGGCAAAAAAAAATACAGCCTGTGTAATGACAGTTCATTTTCCCTGTCATTTGGAAGTCCTGAGATATTCTTTTGAGTGCTTATTTAAGTCATTGAGAAAAAAGGCTAATGGCCTGTTTTAGTTTTATAGCATAATTTCTTTGTTTTAGCAAATTTTTTTTAAAGATTTGAATCCCTACACCTTGTTTGCAGTATATGGTCCCATTCATTTGCAAGTTTTATTGGTTATTTCTAATATGAATTAAGCTAGCTGGATGACTTCAGGCTTATGTATTACTGAGTGGTATTTATATGGTCTCCTTGGGATTTGCTCACACAACATGGCAGCCTCAGTGGGCTCACTCAGGCTCCCCAGCCTGTCTTCATTTAGAGCAATTCTACAGCACTACTGCTTTGACAAGACTTTCTTGAGAGATTTTGTTAAATTGGACAGTTCTATAGGTAACACAAAAAAACCAAACAATATTGAATCCCCTAGTTTTACAGACAAGAAAATAAGTCATTGATTATTTCCAACTTTATATCCTCATAGCATGATGACTTTAGTTCATGTCTTCTAACTCCCATTTCACTTTTTTCAAATACATCACACTACTTCCTAAGCTCCAAAAAAAAGTTAGTGGAGGGCAGGGGATGTGGGGAATGTCACACTTAGAGAAGGCTATGTAAAAGAGGGTTCTCCCAAGAGTTAGAAACCACAGGAAGCCCTCAGTTGAGCTTAATGGAATCAACCTTGTAGCCTTAGCCAAGATTAGACTCCCATGGGCCTTGATTTTAGAGATTTCTTTCTAAAGTTTATGCAAAGTGAAATGACAAGGGTAGCAAGTAAGTTTGTTGTTCAATGCAACTGCATTTTTTAGCAGTGTCTGGCCACCTGGAGAAGAATGTTGGGAATTCTGGACTGACTTTTGAGGTCAGAGGGAAAGCTGCTATGACTGGTTGTTGTATTCTTCATAAGCAAGGGAGGGCAAGATGTTGGAGTCCTGTTTTAAGATGTAGTAAGTTACAGGGTACCTGGAGGGCTCGGTTGATTAAGCATCTGACTTCCTCTCAGGTCATGATCTTGCAGTTTGTGAGCCGGAGCCCTGTGTCGGGTTCTCTGCTATCAGTACAGAGGCCACTTCAGATCCTCTGTCCCTCTCTTTCTCTGCCCCTCCCCTATTTGTGTGCGCTCCCTTTCCTTATCCCTCTCTCTTTCTCAAAATAAATAAACTTAAAAAAAAAAAAGATGTAGTAAATTGCTTATTTTTAGAAGTGCTCAAGTAATCATACTGAGATGCTTACTGCAGATTAATGCCCTTAGGTTTTACTTACATGACTCAGGGTTTTTTGTTCTTTGCTTATTGTTTTGGTTTTTGTTTTGGTACTGAGGTCATATCTTTCTCTTCTGATCGTCAGGGCATGTAGTATAGCTTTATGGATACCACACATGATAATCTGGAGATTGGAGACCATTTCTTTTTAATTTTTTTTTAATGTTTATTTATTTTTGAGAGCAAGAGAGTGTAAGCCGGGGAAGGACAGAGGGAGAGAGAGAGGGAGACACAGCATCTGAAACAGGCTCCAGGCTCTGAGCTGTCAGCACAGAGCCTGATGCGGGGCTTAAACTCATGAACCATGAGATCGTGACCTGAGCCGAAGTCGGACACTTAACTGACTGAGCCACCCAGGGTCCCCTGCAGACCATTTCTATAATATGAAGTGAGTTTTGTTTTTGTTTTTGTGTTGTTTTTATTATTTATTTTTAAAGTTTTTGTTTTATTTTTTTTAATGTTTTATTTATTTTTGAGAGCACGAGCAGGTGAGGGACAGAGAGAGAGGGAGCCCCAGAATCCAAACAGGTTCCAGGGTCTGAGCTGGCAGCACAGAACCCAATGCGGGGCTCAAACTCACAGACCGTGAGATCATGACCTGAGCCGAAGTCGGATGCTTAACTGGCTGAGCCACACAAGGCACCCCTATTTTTTTTTTTTTTAATTTATTTTGAGAGAGATCGTGCCTGAGTGGGGGAAGAGGCAGAGAGAGAGAGGATGAAAGAATTACAAGCAGGCTCTGTCCTGTCAGTGCAGAGCCAGACATGGGGCTTGATCTCACAAATCATGAGATCATGACCTGAGCCAAAACCAAGAGTCGGCTCCTTAACCAAGTGAGCCACCCAGGTGCCCCTATAATATGTAGTTTTTAGGTATTATTGAGAAATGAGAGATTTTTGTTTGGAGAGAAGTGGAATTAGTAAAAATCAGTATGATGCTCTCTTTTTTTTGTGAGAAAGATACATACGTTGTACACCTGAAACTAATGTAATGTTGTATATCAACTACAACTTAAAAATTTTTAATTCCAGCTTAGTTAACATACAGTGTTTTGTCAATTACGATTAAAACAAATACAATAAATTACTTTTTCTCCAAGAAAAAAAATGTATATACATAACAGAATTTGCCATTGTAACCATTTTTAGTGTATGACATTAAGTATGATTCACTATTAGTATATGGTAGGTGATAAAGAAATATTGGCAAGTATGGAGCAAGTGATTCTGGCCATCAGCTGAGTCCTCTGAGCTTTAGCCAAGATTAGAATCCCATGGGCCTTTCCTCTTATAACAGAATGTGGTATAGTAAGGTAGTATACTTTCTTAAGTATAGTTTTCTGGTGAAGAAACTGGAAATAGGGAATGAAAGATAGGTTTGAAGTCAGAAGAGCTGTTCTGGTTTTGAATTTGCCACAGCTTCACCATGTGTCCTTTGACATGTCAACTTTTTTGAGAATTGTTTTTTCATCAATAGATGCCTACCTCACCATGGTTTTTGTAAGGATGTAATGGAATATTAACTTTTTTTTTAACATACCGTGTTTTATTAGTTTCAGGTGCACAATATAGTGATTCAACAATTCATACATCACTCAGTGCTCAAGACAAGTGCACTCCTTAATCCCCTTCACCTATTTAACCCGTCCCCACCCCCCACCCCCCTCTGGTAACCATCAGTTCTCTATATTTAAAAGTCTCTTTCTTGGGGCCCCTGGGTGGCTCAGTCGGTTGAGCATTCAACTTCAGCTCAGATCATGATTTCATGGTCCATGAGTTCGAGCCCTGCATCGGGCTCTGTGCTGACAGCTCAGAGCCTGGAGCCTGCTTTGGATTCTGTGTCTCCCTCTCTGCCCCTCCCCTGCTTGTGCTTGCTCACTTGCTCTCTCTCAAAAATAAACATTAAAAAAAAATTTTTTTAAAAAGTCTGTTTCTTGATTTTTCTTTTTTTCCTCTTAGCTCTTTTGTTCCGTAAATTCCATGTGAGTGAAATCATATGGTACTTGTCTTTCTCTGACTGACTTATTTTGCCTAGCATTATACTCTCTAGCTCTAACCATGTCATTGCCCAAGATTTCATTCTTTTTTATGGCTGAATAATATTCCACTGTATGTATACCACATCTTTATTCATCAGTCTATGGACGCTTGGGCTGCTTCTATAATTTGGCTATTGTAAATACTGCTGTAAACAGGGGGGTAGATGTATCCCTTTGGATTAGTGTTTTTGTATTCTTTGGGTAAATATCCAGTAGTGCCATTGTTGGATTCTAGTGTATTTCTATTTTTAACTTTTTGAGGAACTTTCATACAGTTTTCCACAGTGGCTACGTTCATCCATGTAAACTTGGAAGCATAATCTCACGGTGAGATCTTGGCAGTATTATCACTGTGAAAAGGCATAAACAATCTTGATGGGATAAGATGAATGAGGATTGAATGAGGTAATGCAGTGGGACAATACTTGTACAGTATTATGTACTCTGCAAATGTGTATGTGTGTGTTTTCTAATCACAAAGTCTGAGTAATTGAGACTTGATGCCACTTAAGAGGGTCTCCACTTGGAGGGCCTAGAGAAATACTGTGAACTCTAAAATAAAAGTTGGCTTATTCTGAATAATCAAATATAGAAAAAAAAAAGCTGTCTAAAGTTAGCCAATAAACTCTTGAACTTTGTGTGTGTGTGTGTGTGTAATGTAGCATACTCCTTAGAGCTTAAAACCAGAAACACAAATGTGCTTTGGGGTTAGAACATTGTGCCAAGTCTCAGCCCAGAGCAGCTATTTACAGCAGCCATAAATCCTCTTAGATAGGAATTGGTAATGGGAAATGTGACCAATCCCTTTAGCAGTAGAGAGTAGTGAGGAGGACTACCAGGCACCTGCTGTAATAATTGGAGACAATTCAAATGAATAAATAATGAGCTAAATAAATATTTAAATGTACTCCAAGATAAAAACCTGAAAAGTGATTTTCTAATTTGTTGAAGTAATGTGAAACACAAACTAATACTTGCATATGGGTAGAATTCCTGCTTTGGTTATATCTGCTTGCTTTATTTCCAGTACAGGGTACTACCCATTTGGGTGATTTTAGAACTTCCTGTGTTTGTGGCACCAGTTGGCACTGTGGACATGATATGACCTGTGAAGGTTGACTGTCAGTTCTTCCAAGGAAAAACCTTTATTAGCTGTTGAACTTGCTGTGTCCTGGCTCCCTTTCATCAGTCATAAAGTCTTGGGAGACGGTATTTACTTTCCTACTAGGACTAGCTCCCTGAAGCACATATGGGTCTCTTTACTAGGTGGTGATTTCTCTGTAAATAATTAGGAGGCAGAGAGATGGCGTCCAGCCTGATCGCTAAGTACTTGTATGTTGCAGGCCTGAGAATTGTTCCCAGGGATGATTGACTTGGGGCTCAGGCAGCTGCTGATGAGATACTTCCAATGACTCACAGTGTCATATTGTCTGAGAATGACAGATTTTGTGCAAAGGTTTCTTCTCCCAGGAAGTCAGCCCCTCCAGTTATGTGGACATTAACACTGCACCTGTCAGAAATTAATGCCAGACCAGAGATAACTTTAAAACTAATAATGTTGCGGAACCCTCCCAGGAAGGTAGGAGTCCAGTCCAGATGTGAAAAGATGATTTGATGCCTGGATGTATTCATGCCTCAGCTTTGAGGGAGTAGCAGACAGGTCAGCTTTTGGTGGCATTTAATCAGAACTGGGAGAGCTCCTGGAGCTTAGGTCATATATATAAAAAGTTAGAATAGGTTTATCTTTCTAAATCATCTTTGGTGTAACATATTGTGACTATGCACTAAAATAGGAAATTTAGGAAATTTTTTGGTGGTAAGCACTAAGCATTAGTAAGGAGTAGTTGGTTATCTTTTTCTTCTTTTAAACATATGGGACACACAGGGGCGCCTGGGTGACTCAGTCGGTAAAACATCAGACTTCGTCTCAGGTCGTGATCTCATGGTCTGTGAGTTCGAGCCCTGCATCGGGCTCTGTGTTAACAGCTTGGAGCCTGAAGCCTGCTTCAGATCCTGTGTTTCTCTGTCTCTGTCCCTCCCCCACTCATGCTCTGTCTCTCTTTCCCTCTCTCAAAAATAAAGAAAAAAGAAAAAAAAGCAACTTAAACACATGGGACACACAAAAAGCAGTTGGAAAACTGGCACACTTCCTGTACTTGATGGCTATGTCACAGCATGTAAGAATAGAATAGAGGCACGCTTATACGTATTTCTTTTTGATCGACAGGGTTTTTCTAGGATTTTCTAGTTTATGGCCTGTGAAAAAAAATTTTGACAGCTGAGTATCCTAGATTTTGTTACCTACGCATTATAAGCTGAGCAGGTTTTAATTTTAGCCTTAAATTTAGTGTTAATATCTGTTAGTGGTGTTTTTATGAAATGAAAAAGCACAAGGAGACCATCTTAGAAAGGTTATCAATGATGTTTAATGTTTAAAGAGAGATGTGTAGATGATAGAATTCAACATTGGAGTCTAGAAAAGAGAAACCATGGAGGTGTGAAAAATTAGGCACATCACTTGTAATCTTCACACGTTATACTTTGTTCACTGAAATTCAGTCAAGGTTTAGCTTTAATTTTTATGCATTTAGTTTTGTACATTTATGCATTAGTTTTTTATGTTTGGTTACTGCTAAAATAACGTGAATACATTTAAACCCTTTGTTCATAGGAAAAATAAAATAATACTGTTTTGATTCTGATGTAAGCATGGGACTTTGGTTTTTTCATTGGGGCCTCCTCAGTTCTGACGTGTCCCTCGACTTTCTAGGTCAATGGTGTGCAGCTCTATGGGAAATCTCGCCGAGAAGCAGTCTCCTTTCTCAAAGAAGTGCCACCTCCCTTTACCTTGGTTTGCTGTCGACGACTCTTTGATGATGAAGCCTCTGTAGATGAACCAAGGACCACTGAAGCCTCTCTTCCCAAGATAGAGGTACAAACTGAATATGGTTCCCATATGCGGTTCCCATAGGAATGCCTGTTCATCCAGGATGCCCTGGAGAGAGTATTTGGATAGGAAGGGAGGGGAGACACTTCTTCCCTCTTTTATATGACTAAAGTAGCACTTACAGGCAACAATGCATAGCTTTTCAAATTGTTACTTTTCATTTAACATCATAAAACTTTTTTTCTTCCTTTTTTAATTTTTTTAACTTGAAATGGTGGAGATATTAACATGCATGCACTTTGATTTTAGAGAATTTTTTTTTTTTTTTTTTTTTTTTTAAGTAATTTCCTGGGCTCATTACTTCTGGATCCCAGTTCAACTCAGTTCATCTTAAGTTTAAGATGGTGATGAGTGTTAAATATCTAATGGACTTCCCTTTTTCAGAGCCTTAAAAATATGAAGATCTATGACCGGTTTTGAAGTGAGTAAAAATTGCTATAAAAGCCTTCAGAAGGTCAGAGAAGAATATAACATTTTCTGTGCTTTTGGTACTCTTTTTTTGTTTTGTTTTGTTTTTTAATTTTTTTTTTATTTTAAAGAACATTGTGATTATGAAAACAGTTTTAAGCACATGCTTTGCCATTTTATGCCATTTTTAACCTCATCTTTCATGCCACTTTCCCTACCCCTCCCCCCTTTCCAGACTCTTACAAATTATAATTCTATTAACACCAGTTTACATACACAGAGCCTTTCTTTTACCTGCCTGTGGTCTGAATTTCAACATATATGGACTCTAATTGTGCCTCTACCACTTAATGATTGTGAATCTTGGAGCAGATAACTTCCTTTGAATATTCATCTTCTTTTCAAAATTGGGGATGCTTATAGTACTTACCACCCTCATCAGTTTGTGTGAGAAGGAAATGAAATACTATGTGCACAGTTCTTAGTGCAATGCCTTCCACGTGGAAAGTGCTCAGGAAAAGTTAACGATAGCTCTTGACTCTTCCAGTCCACCCATCTTTGTTTGCTAATTTCCTAAAGTATGTAAGAGGCTAGCACTGTCGTAGGTCACAAAGTCTTTCATGTGACGTGACAACTCCGCTCCCGTGGGCAGAGCCATATCTTACAATTAATTTGTGCCATATCTTGAAATTAATTTGTGTCTCGGGGCGCCTGGGTGGCTCAGTCGGTTAAGCGTCCGACTTCGGCTCAGGTCACGATCTCACTGTCTGTGAGTTCGAGCCCCGTGTCAGGCTCTGTGTTGACAGCTCAGAGCCTGGAGCCTGTTTCGGATTCTGTGTCTCCCTCTCTCTCTGACCCTCCCCCGTTCATGCTCTTTCTCTGTCTCAAAAATAAATAAACATTAAAAAAAATTTAAAAAAAATTTAATTTGTGTCTCATAGTGTTTTTATTCTGTACTGGATGTACAAGAATTGCCCTGCCCATTATTGATTATTGATTGAGAATCTTTTTTTTTTTTTTTAATGTTTATCTTTGGTAAAATCTATTTCAAAGAAGAGACTCGAATCACTTTTGTGATTCTTACTATCGTACTAAAATTCAGTGTGGATGAGGGCTTACCTCTAAAGGTTGATAAAAATGCCTTTAATCAAATCTTACAGGGTGTGTAAATCACCAACCCAGCTTGCTGACTCTGTGCTCCCATCTGTCATCCTTTACCACAATGGGTAAACAACAGCTTTGAATTATTCTAAATGTCAACCTTGCTGCCCATTAGTTGATTGCTTTCTATTCTGTAAATACAGAGTTAGGCAGAATTGATTCTATCAGAGTGATATATCTCAGGTTGGAGTATAATATCCTACATACCTTAGATGCCTTGAAATTTCTGTAAGCTTAGGTTTTATAAGTGTATGTGGTTTCTTAAAATCCTGGCTTTCTTTTCCATCTGTCTTTGTTTTTTGTTTTTTGTTTTTTTTCTATTTATCCCTATATCATCTTAGGTTCTTAAACCTTATCTGGTTAGACAACTTAACCAAAATTCTAATGCTCATTAATCATTGAGGATATTAAATGCACAGCAAAACATCAATCACATCGTATTAGGTATTGGAACTTTACTTTTTTGGAAGGTATAATGTTTTCTTTTTAAATATCATTTCCTCATATCAGACTTATATATACAGAGGTTACTGATTCAGTGGATCCCCCTAATTTCAAGTTTTGTAATTCAGGAACCCAGAAATTGTTCCCATGTTTTGATTCAATCCACCATGAATCGGGTATTGACTTTCCATGTCCTGTGGGGACAGTTTGAGATCTGGACCAACCCTAACTTTAAAAATGTTTTTGTACTTGCTCTGGTGCCTTGCTCTTCCACATTAGAGGGGCCCCCTCCCTTTGATTTCATTAAATGGATTTTCTTATGCAAGTCACTCAAAATTACATTCATAGGAACGATGCACTTTGATTTTATTTACTAAGAGCACCCAAAGTTTTAAGAAGTCTACTTTGAAAAATTAGTCCATAGCTTTATTTAGAAAGTTTCAAGGGAAATGCAAAGATGGATGATTTGTTAATGTATTGAACAAAGATTTATCAAGTGCCTAGTGCACGCCAGGCTGTATTGTGGGCTGAGCAGATAACTATCAGTAAACTCCATGGTAGCCCACATAGAATTTCCATTCTAGCCTGTCATTTTGTTAGTTGCTACAAAGAAAAAGAAGATAATTTTTGAGCTTCAGGTAGAAGTTCAGAGTATTTTGAGCAAGATAGATCATATAAAAAATAATACCATGCTATAAATAGTATTGAAAACTGAAAGCAGCTTCTCTCCTTCTGTGTAGTTGACTCATTGACCCACTATGATTTAGCTTCCTAGAATTCCCTATAGCAGTGACTTTTTTACCTGAAAGGAGGGAAGGAGTCTGGAATAGGGGGACTCAGGAGTGTGAAGTCAAGAAAAATAACCAAGGATCTCTGTATCGAATAGTTTTGCTGGCTTACGTCCTCCATCCAAGACCAGATTTTCTTTATTTCAACTCAGTGATTTTTTTTTAATCTGGTATTTAGACCTTCACAATTCACAAGGACTTGGAGTTTTTTCCACTTTGTTTTTCTAGTGAAGTTTTTCTTAACTTCCAGGAGCCAACAGAAGTGGTTTCCCTTTTGTCTTACACTAGTCTCTCTCTTTGTTGGCATCTTTCTGTCTCTCACTGTAATTGTGAATTCAGGTATTGCTACTTAAATATCTTATAAACTTTGACTTTGTATGATATTTACATTTTTTTCTTAAATCACATATTTTTTCCTTTTATGCTTCTAATGGGATGACAGACCTCATTGAAGTATAAGAGGTCAGTGTTAATATTTTGAATGAAACAGTTACTTACATTTAAAAAAAATCCAACTGTATGAACAGCCTGCATTTTTAAGTACTTGAATTTTCTTGAGGATCTTATCCTAGAGTGTGTGTACCCCAGCACATGCCCCTTTTGAAAAGATTATAAACTATGCATGCCAAAGAGAATTCCCAGTTTGAGAAGAAGCTATGAGATTCCTGATATGTTAATTCTTTTCAGAATTGAAAGGACAATATTTTGAAGCATTTATCTTCTTCGGTGTTTCAGGCTGACCACAGTGTAGATGTCCATACTGAAGATGATGATGATGGGGAATTAGCATTATGGTCTCCTGAAGTCAAGATAGTTGAACTTGTAAAAGATCATAAAGGCTTGGGATTCAGCATTTTGGATTACCAGGTATAAAAATCTATATTGAGTTTCTGGAGGGATTTGTTTGTTTTAAAGGTATGCGGAAAAGTAACTATTTAAGGAACCCACTAGGGAAAAATGAATGATTTGATGTATAATGCTATCATCCAAAGACAGGTGTTAAAATTCCCATTGTTACCTTTGCAACTGGTAGCTTTCTTAGTGAATAAAATGATGGGTGATATAATAATTGAATAGTGAGGGAAGCAATAGTTTTATACCCATGGATGCTTTTAGAAACTGGAGCTTGAAGAATTTTTTAAAATTATTTATTTTGAGAGAGAGAGAGAATGTGAGCAGGGGAGGGGCAGGGAAAGAGGGAGAGAGAGAATCCCAAGCAGGCTCCTCTCTGTCAGTGTGGAGCCTGATGACGGGCTCAGCCTCATGACCGCAAAACCACAACCCGAGCTGATATCAAAAGTCCAATGCTCAACCAACTGAGCCACCTAGGTGACCCTTCAAGAACTTTTTTATATGGAGGGATTGTTTTCCCCAGCTTAAAAAAATTTTTTTTTAATATTATTTATTTTTGAAAGAGAGAACAGGGGAGGAGCAGAGAGAGAAGGAGACACAGAATCTGAATCAGGTTCTAGGTTGTGGGCTGTCAGCATGGAGCCCAACACGAGGCTCGAACCCACGAACCGTGAGATCGTGACCTGAGCCAAAGTTGGACGCTCAACTGACTGAGCCACCCAGCTGCCCCTTCCCCAACTTTATTGAAATATGTTTCACATACCATAACATTCATGCATTTCAGGCATGCCATTTGGTTGTTTTTAGTATATTCAGAGTTGTGCAACCATCACCACAGTCTTAATTTTAGAACACTTCATCACCGCAGAAAGAAACCCCATCCACATGATAGTCATTCATTCCTAATTCTCTCTTCTCTCTCCCCTTCACATGAAGGTTTTTATTGTTTTGCTTTTCTGTTAACAGAAATGTTCTTGGTGAAATTATGTATTTGTATTTAATATAGGACACATGACATTTATTTATATGTACTCCAATTATAATTAGAGTCAAGTCACTAATGTATTTGGGAGGAGGTGTGTGTGAAAGATCCCAATAAGACATCTATCTATATGTTGTATCAGTTTACCAGCTTACAGTATTTTTAGACCTTCTGATTATCATGGGGAATTTAGAACTGTTGGCAAAAAAGCTCTTCACTTTTAAGATGCATATTTTAATACTTTAGTGCTGCCTAAACACATTGTGGTTTAATAAAGCAAAATGTACTCTATCAAAGCACATAAAATGCCAAGTGATATAAAAATCAATTTTTTTAATATAATAAGGCATTCGGGAACAGATTAAAAGAAAAATACTTTGAGCATTATGTAAGAACATTAAATTCCATATTTAGGCAGTATGATTTAAGATTACTGAAATAGATTGTTCATTTTTGCTGCATATTTCTATGCCAGATAACCCTCTCTGTTATTAGAACTTTTCTTTGGAATATTACTGAATTATGATTTGCTGATTCTAAATAATGCATAATTGGGGAGATATTTTTATCAAGAAGTATCAATACTGTAAGATTCTAGAAGCTTATATATTGGTTAATATAAGACATATAAAACAAATTTTAGGTACTACCTCAATTTTTCTTCCCCCGTATATCCTTATTACCTACCATATGGTAAATGATAAATATTTGCAGAATATTTTAAACTGAATAAAGAGAGCACATGTGTGTGTATGTGGGGGAGGGGCAGAAAGAGAGGGAGAGAGAGAATCCCTCTGACAGTGCAGAGCCCAATGCAAGGCTCAAACCCACAAGCCATGAGATCGTGACCTGAGCAGAAATCAAAAGTCTGACGCTCAACTGACAGAGCCACACAGGCACCTCTAGGTTAGCCAAAATTAACTGGAACTAAATGAACACATCCAACGAAATTTATTGTTTACCATTTTGATCATTAGGGTTTAGTTTAGAAAACACCTTTCACATGTAGTGTTAGATATTCAGGTACATTTCCATTATCATTGGAGCTATATGTATTTGCATTATTACATACAGTATTAAAATGGTCATGCTTACCCTCTTAAATGACATTATCTGCAAGCTTTATATTTCAAATATTGCCCATGTTAAAGCAGAGAAGTGTTTCAGAAATAAAAATCAAACCAAACTTCAGTAAAGGATAGAAAGAAAAGTTTGATAGTCCTTAAGAATTTAACCTCTAGTTAACAGAAGAATTCTTTTAGCAGTTCTGAGCTTTACACTTAAAAATAGTTCCAAATATGGAAAATTTCTTTCTTCACCACATTCCTGTAGGTATGACATGTAGCATACTTTGGTTTTTTGAAATTTTATTTTTATTTATAAAATTCTAGGGGCACCTGGGTGACTCAATCAGTTAAGCATTGGACTCTTAATTTCGGCTCAGATGGTAGTCTCACAGTTGTCAGATTGAGCCCCATGTGGGCTCTGTGCTGGGCATGGAGGCTGCTGCTTAGAATTCTCTCCTCTCTCTTTTTGTCCCACCCTTGCTTATGCTCACTCTAGCGTGCACACTCTCTATCTCTTTATCTCAGAAAAAAAATGCTTACATATAAATGCCAATGAGGGGTACCTGCCTGGGTGACTCAGTCGGTTACGTGTCTGACTCTTGATTTCAGCTCAGAGCATAATCTCACAGTTGATGAGATCGAGCCCTGTATTGGGCTCTGTGCTCACTGTGTGGAACCTGCTTGGGATTCTCTCTCTCCCTCCCTGCCCCCCCTCCCCCCACCCCGCTCTGCTGCTCTCCCACTTGTGTATTCTCTCTCTCTCTCTCTGTCTCTCTCAAAATAAACTTAAAAAATAAAATAAAATTCTAGGTTTTTTCCCCATCTTCCTCATAATCATCATTATGTATACAGACATTTCTGCACAAATTATATAAAGTAATTTTGCTGCAAAAGAAGTGTTAGATACTCCTTTTGTCTTTGTGCTTCTCAGAGAACTGATGGAAAAATATTTCATTTTTGAAATGCTACTTTGATTCATATTAAAGTGCTCAGCTTATTTACTTCTGTAGCTAACCCTTGGGAGAAAAAACATTCAATCTTGAACTGAACTTTTTTCTTAAGTCCATTTACTTACAGCTGTATTTGGCACGTTTTCACCATTTATCAGTGGTATGTAGAACTATTAAACACTATGACATTTAGATGACACATAAACACAATTTAAAATTTGGTTTGGGGCAAGTTAATTAATTGGTTATATTGTCTCTTGTTGTAATTAGGTAATAAATTCTAAAGTTCAAACATTTTTTGCAAGGCCAGGTGAAGGTGTAGCAAAAGTCATGAAAGGCCATGTTCCTGGCTATTATTGTATTTAATATATCCTGTATGAATTTATTAGGTAGCTGAATAGGACCAATGCAAACCCACCCCCATCTCATTCCCCCTCTTAGTACATTTAGAATAAGAATACCGTAGAAACATTTTGGCCACCAGAGGAAAGTTTTAGGACAGTGGGAGAGCTTCCCGGTGGTAAAGGACTGCATTAGCAGTATTGAAGAGATTGAAAATTTACTTTGCAATAGTAATTTCTCACCAGTTTTTCTCTAGAATAGTAAGAACTTTCTCAAGAACCTGACTAAATGATATACAGCATCTGTTGTACTGGTACTTATGCAATTTCTTCATCTATAAAATGGGGATAATGTCTAGCTCAAAGGATTGGTGTAGATTAAGTAAATTAATGTGTAAAGAAGTGGGAAATGTTAACATTACGATGGGTATATGAATATCGATAATCATCCAACTTAGAAAATAAACTACAGAAGTCTTGATATTGTCCTTTAATATATAGCTGTACTACAATATATTTGTACCCTGTCAATTTTAAGCCATCTATTTAGGAAAATTAATAAGTACATGCCTTTGTTTAGTGAAGTCTAAATTTAATTGTAAAATTACATTCTAAAATGCAGCCAACTCTTGATAAACCATATGTGAATTATCCAATTGTGGATTATTGGCCAGCAATTTGCTTTTTACATAAATTGAACTGAACCTTAGGAAAAGATGAGCGAGCAGATAAAGGATGCTGAATTGGCCATGGAACTATGGGGTGGCTTCCTGGATAGGTGAAAGTCTGGAAATGCAAAGTGGAAATACATTTTCATGAAAGGCATTTAAAACAGATTGGGACAAAGCAAAAGGAGATAGTGACAGGGAAGACATCGTAAATGTGATTCAGGTGGTAAGCCTCCTCATTAGACTTTAAGATAAAGTGATACTAGCTTTATTGGCTGGGATTTGAATGGAGGTAGAATATTTATTAGTTTCAAATATTTCTAGGCACTACTCCATGTAGTGGCTAGTTAAAATCCTATCCTATATGTGTACCATGTTAGAAGGGTCATTTGTCACTATAATATCATATCGTGTAAGATAGTGCCATGGAAAACAGTGATGTGCCTAATTTATCAAGAACATGAATATAATGGCTTAACTGTATACTCTGTTTCTAAGCAACATAAAACTTAAGAAATTTTTTATAATTTTTTAGGGTATAATTTCTTGCCAGTTTCTAGATGTGGTTTACATATTGCGCTCGAGTTATCTTTGTCTCAATCACGTAATGTCTTTATTCCTTGGAATAGTACTAATACTCATACTAATCCTAATATTAATACAACTAAAACTAATACAAATCCAGTAATAATTGCTAACGTTTACTGAGTGTTTACTGTTTGCTGGGCATTGTTCTGATTGTTTTACGTACGTATTCCTTGCAAGAACCCTATGGACTAGGTGCTATTATTATTTATTTTTTTAATGTTTTACTTGTTTTTGAGAGAGAGAAAGAGACAGAGCATGAGTAGCGGAGGTGAAGAGAGAGGGAGACACAGAATCTGAAGCAGGCTCCAGGGTTTGAGCTGTCAGCACAGAGCCCGATGCTGGACTCAAACCCACGAACCATGAGATCATGACCTGAACTGAAGTCAGACGCCTAACCAGCTGAGCCATCCAGATGTCCC